AAAGATAGTAATTGGGTAGTAAAGGAAATGATAGCCCATGCGCTAATGCTATGAGTAAAATCCCGACTTGTGGGAGTTGCAAAGCATTGCATGGAATGATCCTATAGGCTAAAAAACTTAGGACCACCCCCTATACTCATGTGTAAAAAGTAAGTTGAATATTGTATTTGTCTTATTTGTTTTCTTCTCTTTTAAGACTAACTCGCTTAATTTAAGTTCGGCCGGGACCTACCATTGTGGACCTCAAAGGGTGGTTAACATCTTCCCCTCAAGGTAATTTCGAGCCCTTACCCGTTCTCTGGTGATATAAACTGGTTATATGAGTTAACTGTTCTAGGTGCCCTAACGCACATTAATCCGTTAGGTGGCGACTCTTCAAATCCCTTACCCATCCCAAAAGAAAAGGAGTTGTCCCAAAAATGTCGAAACTCTATTTCGGTAGAAAAAGGGGCGCGACAAGCACAATCGCGAATGCAATCATTCTCTCGTGAATGCGGAGAATAAGTCCTTGATGACCCCGTTCACTTTCCCTTCTACACGATCGCGATACCTATTACGCGAACGTGAGGACTGCAGTCTTCCTAGCTTCGTGAATGCCGTCGTCTCTTCGCGATCACGAAGAACAAAATGCATGCGGCCACAATCTCTCTATGCGAACACGACTACTTAGTCGCGATCACGATGCAGAATACTAAATATCTGCTCACAGCAATCCAAAACAAAGAGAAATGGCTCGTAGCTCATCCGCAACACATCTGAGGGCCCCGTGACCCTGTCCAATCATACCAACCTATCCCATAATATAATACGGACTTGCTCGAGATCTCAAATCACACCAAACAATATCAAAACTACGAATCGCGCCTCAATTCAAGCCTAATGAACTAATGAACTTTCAATTTATACAACTCACGTTGAACCATACCAAAACACCTCGAAATGACCTCAAATTTTGCATGCAAGTCCGAAATGACAAAACGGAACTATACAAATCCTGAAACCACAATCTGAATCTGATATCAATAAAGTAAACTCCCGATCAAACCTCCCAACCTTCCAAACCTTCAATTTTCCAACTTTCACCAAAAACCATCAAATCCACTAAATCCAAATTCGGACATACGCCTAAGTCCAAAATCACCATATGAAGCTATTGGAATCATCAAATATCATTCCAGAGTTGTCTACATATAAGTCAAATTCTGATCAACTCTTACCACTTAAGCTTCTAAAACAAGAATCATTCTTCCAAATTAATCTCGAATCGCCCGAAAATCAAAATCGATCATTCACGCAAGTCATAATACATAATATGAAACTTCGTAAGACCTTAAACTATTGAACGAAACGCTAAAACTCAAAACGATTGGTTGGACCGTTACACCCTTCCTACACTCCATGTGTAGATCAAATACGGCTTCGACAGAGTTTGACAATCATCATTTTATGGTTGTTGTTGTTCCCGTGCAGAAGCGACTCCATGGTAAGGCACTTGAAGAAGAAAAACGAAAAAAAAGTAAAGCTCGTGCCTTAGGCCCCTAAATATTAAACACCTCAAAAATATGAATTACTATATTATTATTATTATTATTATAATTTATGTAAGTATTAAATAACAAAAATTAAATTTCAACATTTTCTAATTGGGTACAGGTTTACGATTTACTAAGAAAATAATGATAAATTTTCTTTCTCATTAAATTAAATAACGTACATACCTTTTTAATAATTTTATTCTTCTTCCTTTATGTATATATTAGTTTAAATGTTTCTAACGATTTTACTTTTTAATTTCAATTCAATCTCTCAAAATTAGCTATTTGTTTTTATCATATANTCCTTGAGGCAAGCGTTACAAGATTCGATACTCGGTGGATAATGGGCTTAGCTCTTTTCACTTAAATACCACGGGAGAGTTCGAAAAAAAGTACTAAATTTTTTTGGGAAAAATAAAAAATTTCTTATGTCCAAAAGGGCTCAAATTTAAAAAGTTATTCTTCATTTTGAAAGTTGATCGTGGGGATAGATGGTGAGGAAAACGTTTCCGCCCAATTGCATAAGTTAATCATAGATACCAACAAGCTGTTGTCGCTTGTCACCTGTAACTTTCACGAGCTAGGAAGTCCTTTCCTTTATCGTAACAAATGGACCACCACCAATAAGCTGTATGCAGTCCCAGCTTATTGTGTCTTTTCCTAATCTTAGACCTGCCGTGCGTACGAGCTACGAGCTCTTTTAACCTCACGGGAGGTCCATTATGCTAGGTTTTACTTTCTTTTGTTCACTTTTGGGGAAAAAGTTGTTTTTGACCTTGAGAAGCTTGATCAAACAAGTTATAAGTGACGCTCATGGTTTTTTTTAAAGTGGTATCGACTTTTAAAAAGTTGAACGAATAAATAGTCACGGCTCGCATCAACTGTTAAGATATCGTCCATTTTAACCCATCCATTGCAATCAAGGGGCGGATTCGATGCATTAGTTATAGGTTCCCGTGAACCCAGTAATTTTTGTCTAAATTTTATATTTGTATTGAAAAATTAATTAAATATATAAAAATATTTAGTTTGGAATCTAGTTCGTTAATCCGATTATTATTGTAGTTATACCATAATTTTATCTCAACCAAATATAAGATAAACTTATCTCAAATTTAATTTTGGGATTAATTATTCCTTATCTCTCGTACCAAACGAGCCCTTAGCATAGAACAGTTTAGAACGTGTACACCTCAGCATAGCTCCTTGTAGGCCCACCAATGTTTGCCTACTGTCGGCAAATTAGATTAGGGATAGAATAATAATATGTTTAGTCATAATCATTTTTTAAAGACAGCTTCAAGTAATTTTAAAAAATCAGGTTACGCAATTCAAAAGGAGAAATTTTATTTTGTGTCTCATGCGACTTATAGGCTCCTTTTTGTCTTACAAATTTATGATCTCCAACCTTACACTGCTGGGTCCGCAGAAATCTGAGTTCACAAAATTATGAGACAAAAAATTGTCTCATACAACTAGTGCGAAACACAAAATAAAATTTTCTATTCAAAAGAGAGATGTGTCTAAATTTTTCAATAGAGTCACTATTGAATAAAGGTCATGACATTATCCTAAATTATGAACGAATACCATGACATTTATTCTATTCCCTAGATCTCCATGGGTCGGCAAAACTTCTTTTGTAAATACAGTGAGACTTCTTTATAACAGTATTCATATATAATAAAAATTTTACTAGTTTATTATAAAAGTCAAGTTTTTCCGGAACTAAACTTCATGTTATATTGTAATATATGTTATTTATAACATCATTTCGCTATAATATTCATAAATATTCGAAGCAAACAAGGCTGTTATAGAGAAATTTAATTGTACCAACAAATTAAGAAAAGAAGAAGGCAATAATACAGGCTTCTTTTTTCGTTAGTTTTTGTGGCACGCAGATCTTGAACAGTGGGGAACGTCAAAAAGCATTTCTCCAAAGTAGCTATTCACCCTATTGACAAGTAGAAACTGGTATTGAATTCCAGATTTATCTCGATTGCTCTTGTTTGTACCAAGAAAACATATGAGAAAAGTAAATTTCTTTTTTTGCTTTTCTGAAACTACGAGTAGGAAAGGAAAGGAACAGTATTTTTTAAAACATTCATTTATTTTTATTTGATTTGACAATACAAAAGAAGAAGAAAATTGAAGAGATTGTATATAGCTCTATTATGCTAAACCATTTTTTTTAATAATAAGGAATTACTCTGTGTTTTATTTTATATGATATTCATTCCTTTTAATATGTTTATAAAAGAATTATATTTTTTATATTTAGAAATAATTGTCTTTAAACATCTTCCTTCGGCAAAATGACAAAAGTAATATTCTTAAAACGGTAGTTTTAGGTCAAAACAAAAAAAATAACTAAAACTTAATTATTTTTGGCCAAATAAAAATATTTAGCGTAAATAATGTAATTCTAACCAAGTTTTATTATAAATTGTATTCGAAAAAAATTATTTAAAAAAGTAATATTCTTAAAACGGTAAAAATATATTTTATTTTTCAAAAAGATGCCACCTATACAGAAAAATCCACGTGGCAGGCAAGTGCACCCATACTTTTTGCCACATCAGCGTCTAGGGGGTAATGTCTCTCAAAAGGCCAAGTTGAGGGGGTAATTAAGATCGGGGCATAATTTGGGGATGATACTAATAATCTGAGCCAAATTTAGGGTCGGTTTAAGGTATTTTGCCCAAATATTATGATATGTTTGAAATAACAAAATTTTAGATTTCGTACCCAATCAAACGCATGTATAAAATTAAATAAAACTGATAGAGTGATTTTTTATTTATTTAAAACTTTATTGACATTGATACTATTTAAATATTTATCCATGATATGAATCAATTCAAAGTAAATGATATTCCTCCGTTCACACAACTGATCTGACCTTTCCAACTAGAAGTTCCCAACTCATAAGCAATCAAGGCTCCTTTACAAAGTATCTAAAGTGAATGTTCACACCTTCATGTTTTTCTTTTTAGTATATTCTTTTTCTTTCTTTTAGTACTTTTTTTTTCTTTTTACATCTCTAGGCTTTGAGGAAGAATGTATTAGAATTATACAGTTCAATCGCAAAATATATATAAAAAAAAAATTAAATTTCATATATTGACGGTGTAAAAATAATTTATACCATCCAATTATTTGAAAGGCGATCACTTATAATTCTCTATATTAACATTAATTGGCCGTAACCTTAGAAAATGGGAAGCAATCTTCTATAGAAGATCAAAATATACTATCAGTTCATATAACTTAATTTATTATTATTTTTTTTTTTAAAAAAGTGAAAAGCTAGAGGAGCAAAGATTAGTGGAGATCGAGTGGTTGTGATTTGTTACAGATAATGTGTCTTTTTTCTTTTTCTTTCAAGATTAGTCAAAGTAACACACCCCACAGTTCAAGATCATCCCCTTGCACCGTGGCTTATGCTACTATAAATGGACCTATTTAGTAGTGGTCTCTTCACTCACCACAGAAAAGAAACAAAGTATTTTAAGAAGAAGAAAAAAAGATGGCTGGCTTTCCCAAAGTGCTTGCAATTGTTTTCCTTATGCTGATGCTGGTTTTTGCTAATGGTAATTAATTTCATATGTGACAAAGCTATTCTGGTTGATCTTGCAGTATTTGCCTTACCGTACCACTTTTAGGTGCAGAACCCGACCTTTATCCAAAATGGGACACGTTTAATTTGATTTTGATTTATAAACTGTTTGCTTGGATTTTACGTTGTCAATCGAAGAACGGGTCGAACTATATATACATGTAAAAAAATATTAAAATATGTACGATCATACACATTTTAAACTCAATGACTCTAGATTCTGAATTTTACTTGTATGTTAAATGTACAGAGATGGGACCAATGGTGGCTGAGGCGAGGACCTGCGAGTCGCAGAGTCACCGATTCAAGGGGCTGTGCATTAGTAAGAGCAACTGTGCGTCAGTTTGCCATACTGAGGGCTTTAACGGTGGCCATTGCCGTGGATTCCGTCGCCGTTGCTTCTGCACCAGACATTGTTAATTTACTCTTATTTGTATGCTGTGTAATATGAACGTGTTCTCGTTTCTTCTTGTGCTTGTCATGAATAAGAATGACCATCTGAAGTCAGAAACAGATCAGGATGGTTAATTCCCTTCCGTTTCCTGGGAGCTAATGGTTGCTATTACTGTTTCGGGCAACTTTTAATTGCGAATATTAGTACTACTAGTACACTATTGTATCTTATCTTTTCCTTCTTTTCTCTGCTTTAGTTTGGCAGCGCCTTTGGCTTATGGAATATACGCGGGGGGTATTATCTGTGTTCAAAAGTAAACTTCTAGCGTGGATGATATAGTACCTTTGTCAAATAATTACTCTATAAGAAATCGTTTAGTAACCTAAATTTTTTTAAGCTAGTGCTAGTCGCTCAGTTGCGCATACAACATATTGACAACTGGTTCATCCAAACTCAATATTATATTTTCAGCGTACAATATATTTATGTGAAAATTTATTAAAATTTTAATAAATAATAGTTGATCATAACACATAATTTATCAAGTACAATACACCTAAAATATATAGATAATATAAAAATCTTATTACGCTGTCAAGGTATATAACAAAGTTTAATCTTATTGAAAATTATGATGCTGAAAAAAAAAGTTTGATGTTGGTTACTCGTTTTTATTTTCTTTTGTTGAGTTCCATCCCGTGTTAGTATAAAAGAAGTATGATCATTTGCTAATTTGCCTTTTGATCTCTGTACCATAGTCCTTGGTCTAATATACAACCTCTAAATGGCTTGGAATCGGATCTCACCAATCACCATTTCATATTAAGTTTACTCTTATGAGCTTACGTCATCTCCATAACACCCCCTCAGCCCTACCATATCTGGACGTTTCCATGTGACAACCCTTATCTTGATAATTATGTAATAAATACCAATCATTTGAAAAACATACGTATTTTATTTAAAGTATTGTAAAATAATAATAAAAGAGCAGCAGTATTGAAAGATTTAGATAAAAATGTAAAGAGGCAGAGAAAACTTTCTTCTATCTTCAAGGGTATATTCCATAGGGTAATTCCCTTCTTATAAGATACAAAGTACATTCAAAGTTCACAAGATACATCCTAACAATTAACTGACAAGGTAAATATATCTAAATGATACATTGAATAAAATGCATGGATATCCACATAAATCAAGTAGGTCTAGAATACTTCTCCGTGAATATCCAATAATATATTTTGTGTCTCATTAAAATCTTATTAGGAAAAACTCAATAAATAAAAATATACACATATATTTCTGATAATACACATTGTGAACTGTCTCATTAAAAACCTTACGAGGAATACCCAATATGACAAAATCTTAGTTAAAAAAAATGTATAGCGCATATTTAAAAACTCGACTTGTTATCTCGAAATTTCAATCTTACATATCAACTTCTCACATGTTGAAATTGGTAATACCTTATTAAACAAATTTGTAAATTTATTTTACGATTCTTTTGAAGTAAAATTAATTTTGCAGTTTTGCTGAACGACAAAATGAAATAAAGAGAGAGCTAGGACTAGAGTTTGCACGGAAATGGTATTTTGAAAATTAGAAACGATAATAGAAACAAAGTAATGGAAATGTATCAAAAGGTAGTTAACACTTATGAGGTCAAAATAATTAAGTTGAGGTTTTGCCAGTTTATTGATCTTTCACTATTTTGGCTTATAAACATTTGAAGATTTAAATAAAAACTTTTATGTTTACCAAACGGGGAAGGGATTATAACCCAAAGAGCAGATTAAAAATTTGCTCAATTTCCTTAGCTCGCATAGGCCAAAGGGTTTAAGCTTTTCCCCTAGCAGAGCGCCTGCCTCCTCTTCTCTCAGCAAAACAGAAAACATGGCCGAAGATGAACGCAAGGAGGAAGTGGGAACCACAATCGTAGAAGCAACAGACAAAGAAGATGAGATGAAGCCGTGGGAGCAGCACTCAGCAGTGATAAGCATCCCTCGTTTCGATTACAAGGCTTCTTCTTCCCTCCTCCGCCATTCCCATTCTGCCTTTCTCATCACTTGCCCCATCAGTCAGTTTACTCCTCTCCTTTAATCTCTCAACACTTTCCTCACTTTCCCATCTGTTTTTCCCCCTATTATTCTTGAATATTTTATGTACTAATATTGCAATGAGAACGGGCTCAAATAGAGCGGATTGGATATATAGGATTAGTTTAGCAGACACCGAGTAGTTTAGGATTGAGGAATAGTCAATTGAATGAAACTTGATTTAGCTTTTCAAGTATATCAGCTAGGGAACTGATATTGTGTGGAAAATGGTGTTCTATTGAATAAAGATTCACTAGGTTCCTTCGTATAATTGGAAAAAAAATGTAATCTTGCTAGCTAACTGTGTGCAATTTTCTTTCTTTTATTGGTTTTAGAAGAAGCTTAAACTCTGAAAAGAATTATGTGGTATTATTTGTTTGTTGGAATTTGGATACCTTTAGGGAACCTTCTTCTGCTAGTTATTGTGTAAATTTCTTTCTGAAGCAAATGTTAGTTGGGTAATGTTTCGTGCAAAGTTTGCTCTGGGCAGTATATAGAAAAAGCAAGAAGGTTACAATATCTTAAACTCAGGAAGTTAAGCTACTTCTGGGGTTTGTTGTTTACACTGTTATGTTGGTGTGCTTTTGCTAATTAGTATGAAGTTCATTGAAAATCAGCTGCTCTACTCAAGGAGAAAGTTTTAAAATGTTCTTTGTAATCTGATGCATCATTCCTATTAGACATTTTCTGGGCGGGTTTCATATTTGCTACTACATATTTCACAATGCATCGGTTTAAGTTGAAATATTTAACCTCACACAATTAACTTGAATTAGGCGCCTAAGCATCTTATTCACCAAGGACAACTGTTTGGGACAATGGAAGAAATTTGGATCCAAATCTGGACAAATGTGTTGATTAAACTTCAATATAAATAAAGCAGGACAAAAGGACTAGAATCTACTATGCCGGGAAAAGTATTACAAGAATATAGCATACTTCATTCTTGAAAATTTTATTTATCAATAGGAAGGAGCTAGAAATGAGTTTTGGTCTATAGAGAACAGAACTGCACAAAGAAAAGAGCGTAGCTAAATGATAAGTAGATAACCAAGAGTAGGAAATATCAGCATAGAAGGGGTAAGAGGTATAAATAGAACAACTACATAGAAATGTGTTTATAAGTTCTCCACCAGGGCAAGATGAAAGTAAAAACAAATACCTTCTTAATTTTGATCTTGTGTGGACAGTATATTGGGATTACGTACAGCATTCAAGTAGTGCTTGTTTTATGCAGGCTTTACTTTACGAATTCAGGAAATCATGTAAAATAAATCATAAAACTACTTTACTCAAGGTGTGGCCTAGAGGTCAATGAAGTGGGTGAAAACTTTTGAGACCAGAGTTCAAATCCCACCAGAGACAAAAAATGATGCTAGGTGATCTCTTCCTGTTTGCCTAAGCCTTGAAGGGAAGAGTAACGCAGTACATGTGCGTGGTGAAAATAGCAGGTACCTAGTGGAATAGTCAGGGTGAGCTCAAATTAGGCAGGACGCCACTATTATTATTAAAAAAGAAGCATAGAACTAGTTTTGAAATGTACAGGAATGTTCAAGGCCCTTATTTTTTAAAATTTGGAGTTATACTGCTCCTTATACCAGTTGTTTTGGGGTAGAAAAGAATATGTTAAAGCTTCAAGATCCTTCTGCTGCTTTCTTTCCCCAGTTTCTACCAATAATATCAGTTACTTGTTTATTTTAATCTTTACTCTATTTAGATAAGGAATGCGTCTTTAGTGCCCTACGACTAATAACCTATGCTGAGGATAGGGTTTTAGTGAAAGGTAAGAATCTAACTTCGAACAATTTTCTGGTAATGGATAGTGCTAATAACTCCACTACTTTGCTTATAGCATTGCTTGTCATAATGCAAAACAGTTTTTGTTTTTAATTTTATCATTCTCAAGCTTCTCATGCTTTTGACATTGAGCATTTGGATATGCTGGAGGCTTTCCTTTTTTTTCCCCTTACTCCTGCAACAACTTTTTACTACTACTACTACACGGCCTCAATCCCAAGCTTGGTGGGGGTAACATATGAGTCACTATCCACTTCACTCTATTTAGACCCATTTCATTTCAACATTCAATATCTTGGGATTCGGGAACACTAATGGTTCTCTACATTTATTGACATACAAATCTCTAAACATAGTGAAAACTCCTATTAACACTTGTCCCTAATATAAGAATAGTATCAAGAATAAGCTTTAATCCCACTGTGGTGCCTATCAGATCTTTTGCTGCTAATTCTTGCTTAATTGTTCTGATAGTTTAAGTCCCTATTGGATTTTGCTAAGCGTTCTTTCCTTTTTCCACAGAGAGGGAGAAAAGTGCAACAAAAGAAGCTATAGCTATCCTTGAAAAGGTTATTTGTTTACTCTTTGGTATTTTCATTTTTTTTCAGAAGTAGTTCTGGACAAATGACCTATTTTATTGTTTGTCCATTTGGGCTGTAATATGCACTTTCCTGGGGACTTGAAGCTGGCTATGGAAACCTTATTCTTTTTAAAAAAAAATCATTTTGGTTTTAAATTTATCTGTGTTGGAAAGATTGCTAAATGTAGTTGGGTTTTTTGTTTTCCGTACAGTATATTGTTTCAAATCCTGATGCTAAGAGAAGGAAAATATGCATGGAAGATGCTAATGAAGAATGCAATGGATCAGAAGGTGCAGCTAATGAGCATGTGAATTCCGGTATGAACGCATCTTCAACATTTTGATGCCTGTGTGGACTTACTGTTACAATAGTTTACAGAGTGTCAAAAATTCTTGTTTGCTCCTTGCAGAATCCGACACTTCTATAAAGAAAAGTGATATTCTCTCACTTGTTAAGTTAACAAGAAGTGGATTGCTTCTCTTTACATTTCCATTCGGCAAGTCCCCAGCAGTTGTTGACATCGTTTCACAGATTTTTCAATCCCTTGAATCTGGAATATTGAAGTCTCCTCTGTGAGTTGCTCTCTTTCTTGGATTGCTTTCAAAATAATTTTTTTAGCACTTATCTATATGTAATATTGCTTTATTTGGCCAAGGGAAACCCGTGAAACTTAACTGGAGCCAAGGGAAATGAAAGCTCCAAATAAAATTGGAATAATAAAAAGGTTAGGAACCATATCCTAATGCTGGCAGATGAGAGAATTAAGCAAGTTTAAAAACTACCCTAATTAAGTATAAGAACTCAACTGGAGACTTACTCAGAGTTGCAACATTTGTAATGGTTCGCTTTCACTCCATTGCGCTATTGCTATAAATGATTCGTGTGTATTTGTTGCGATGGCAAGTTATTCTGCTATTTGATTTACTGAAAGATGTTAGACATGGTATAATTTTTCAAGTATAATGCTAGGATATTGCTATAAATGATTTGTGTGTATTTGTTGCGATGGCAAGTTATACTGCTATTTGATTTACTGAAAGAAGATGTTAGATATGGTATATTTTTTCAAGTATAATGCTAGGATTTCTAACCTGATCTCTGCAGTAAAGGTAAGTATGTAATATGGGTTAGGTAATTTTGCACGTATTATCTTGATAGCTTACCCTTTCTTCATCCATTTACCCATTTTGCTCCATTTACCCTTTCTTTTTCACCTCTTTCGAAGATTATTTCTAATACCAAAGAAACTAATATGCTTAAAACTTTAATCATGTCATGCAGTTGGTGCAATCGGATATTACCAATTCAAGGTACATGCCCTTTAGAGGAGAAGGAACTTAAGAAGATTGTGACACAGCTTGTTGATCAGTTTATCATCAATAGGCCGAAGGAGACTGGAAATACTGTTAAGGTAAACCTTGGCTTTCTTAAGAAATATCCTTCACTCAGAGTTGAAAGACTCGTGTTGCTTTCTTTTTCTGCTTTACGTTGCCTTTTCTTCTTTTGTCAGCCGCCCTAAGAAGTCATCTTGGTTCATATAAACTACCATGAGTACGTCTTCTATCAGTAAACCCAATGACAAGTTGAATATTTTCTTTTTCCATTTGAAAGTATTAGTTAAAAATATATTGGTCAAATATGTCCACGTCAAGTGTCTTGCTTTCGTTGTCCCCTGTTTTTATCCCTTTCTCCTTTTATTTTTAGTTTTTGGTTTTACGGGGTAGGGGTGGAGGAGGGTGGCAGGATATTGGATAGAGATGGTCTGTGTATCATTTGGACTATTTGGTTGGAGAGGAATAGGAGATGTTTTGAAGATCAAAAGCATCATATTTCCTTTGTAAAGAACAGATGCCTACAGAATTTGTACTTTTGGTCTAGGAGTAGTATGGTAATAATGACAGTATTTTGATTTTCTCGACTTTTTGGGAGTGTAAATGTAACAAGCAATGCTGTAACTTTTTCTTTTTGAAGTACCTTCTTGGTACTTTATTAATGAAATTTATCTTGCCTTTTAAAAAAAACCCAAGTTCTCTTACATGACTATTATGTCCAGTAGCTGCGGTGAATTTGAGCAGTCTTCTCTATGTGGGCCGAACCAGATAGGATAACCTGCAGAAACTAATGACATTATAGTTTGCAGTTGGCTATAACAGGAGAGGGATTGAGGAGACCGAGATGAAGAATCTTAGAAAAACTTCTAGCGATCCTGATGTATTTGCTTTGTTGGACCGCAACAAATGCTTTAGCGTCGTGGCAGCAGCAGTAAAAGAAGTTGTCCCAGATTCGACGGTGGATTTGAAAGATCCAGAGGTCAAATGATTTATTGCAGTGAAGTTATAAGCTTTTACTTCCTCTGTATCTTTTTAATGTACTGAATATAGCTTCTCTTTTGCAGCTTTCTGTGCTTGTTGAGGTACTTCCACTTTCTAGAGTACCTGATAAAACAGCCATAGTTGGTGTGTCGGTTCTTCCACGAACACTTGTTAGTACAAAGCCTCGGCTCTGCATCAAGGCCTTAGTCTCAGATACAAAAGAGATGAAAGGGAAGAAAAGATAAAATCTCTCTATGAATAGGATGCACGTTTTCGATTTTTTGTCGATTACATTGGCCTTTCTCAGATTTAAATATTTAATGTGTTGTATTGACTTGGACTTTAAGGCGACACCTTGCAATGGTAGTAATTTATTACTGTATTTTGTATTATCAGGTGTTGGCTAGATCTGGTTGAATGTTTAACCCTTAAACTAGACAGGGAAAACAAGGAAAGCTGCAGTGACGACGATGGTTCTGGTACACACCAAGTGTCGAAAATGTTGCAGTTTAGCATTAGAACTATTTGTGTCCTCGCGGTTCTTTTGAATTGCAGCATAATTGCATTAGTTTTGTCGTTTAAAAGTTTGTTGTACAGAGATTATCTTCTAATCAGTTTATCACAGTAGTGAGAAGTTGGAAAGCTTTAGTTGTTCAAAAGCTTTTATTTAGGTTTAACCTTTCGGTTGGGACTGTGTAGAAGAAAGGGAAGACAGGCTTGAGGGTGTCCTTTCTCCCGTTTCAGTTGGTATAAAAGAAAAGACATTCAAGACACAAGATATTTTCTTCCCCTCGTGTCATCTGTATGTCAAGAAAAGAAAATGTGTGTTCTAAAAAGGTGCAATAGAGGAAAAATGAAAATCATTTTATACTTCTGTTTGCTTAAATAGTAAAGGAAATATCAAAATGAAAAACGAAGTGGTGGTTTCAACTTTGGTTGAATGAGTTTTATATGCACAAGAGAGAAGGTCCAGATTTGTTTCTGAACTATGTGAAATGATCTAAATTTGCATCAATAGTTGGTTTAAATATATCTCTATTGCTATCAAATTTGCTTGTCCTTATTCATAGATGGAAAACAATTTTAATTTAGTTAGCGTCTAAACACTTTGATTAGTACGTGGATCTGTCACGTGTCCCCCACATCTCCCAAAAAATGACACCAAAATTAGCATCAAGCACCTTATGAAAAATTTATATTCAAATCTATAGAGCTCTATTTGATTTGAATTCATGATGGAAGCAAATGGAAAAAGTTAGCTGTGAAGAGGGATACAGCAATAGATCCGGAGGTGAGCATAACAGGGAGTGAGTGTGTCACAATGTTGAAACCAAACTCCTGCTTATTCAAGAACTAGTCTGGGATGTCCGTGTTGTACACGGGCCCAACAATGTGTTTGTAAAAGAAAAAGAGAACAGCAAAATATTATAAATAAATATTAACAATATCTATGAGACTATGACTACACAAACTTTATTTGATATTCAATTTAAGTAATATGCTTGAGTAATTTTTTGTGGAGACTATTTCTCTTCATTTATTGCTGTGTATAATGATATGTTAGGTCTATTACTTTTAGCTTTTCTTTCTGGTATTCATCGAGATTACAGATGAGGAAACACAAAAAATCTTAAATTGCTTCCAGCTAAGTGATGAGACTCTTACTTTTGTACCTTTTACACACTTAAAAAAATTACCAGAAGATGCATTTCTTGAATAACAACGTTGTTGTCACGCTCCGAACCTGGGTCTGGACGTAACATGGTACTCGGTGCCTGATTACATGTGACCGAGCGAATCAACTGGCTGGCTGAATCAACATGTGATATCATAACATACTGAATGCGGAAGATAAACTAACACATGCTGATTTACTGAAAGTCTGGATGATATAAATCAAAGTGCGGAAATACTAATACAATTCTGAAACATATTTGTAGCCAACATAGCTTAACATGAAAAACCTGAGACTCTGTCTAACTGTTACTCTAGTCTATGAAGCCTCTAATGAAGTACTGAAAACACTCTATCTAAAAATACTGAAGACTGTAGTAATGATAATGCCCCAAAAGAACTGGGGATCACCAAATAGCTGGTACGAAAATCCTAGCGCTCTGAATCATCAACCTGTAAATCATTACCTGCATCGTGAAATGCAGGCCCCGGGCAAAAGGGACGTCAGTACATTTGAATTGCACTGGTATATAAAGCAACTGAAAGAAAGAATTATAAATGCTGAAACTGAAACTAACCTGATAACTGAGAATTGATAATTGATAACTGAAATGATAACTATTGAAACTGAAACTGGAACTGAAATGATAACTGAACTGATAACTAATAATTGAACTGAACAAAGGAAGTAAGGATATGAATATTCCCTCTTCTGAATGATGAACAACCTGTTTATCTGAATAAGCTATGACCTCGGGCCCAATATATAAAGCATAAGCTATGGCCTCAGGCCCAAGTATACGTATACATAACTACGACCTCAGACCCAAAATGCATAAAACATAAACTACGGCCTCAGACCCAAACATGCATAAAGCATACACTACGACCTCAGGCCCAAGTATGCATAAAGCATATAAACTACGGTCTTAGGCCCAAATACATGTGTTCAACATTCAGGAATTTAAAATCAGGAACTGAGAATCATACTGCAATACATGATAGTAAAATACCGGTTCACATTGAGTTGCATGATATTGGAATACTGGATCACACTGAGTTACATAATACTGGAATACTAAATAGGACTAGACTGAGACATGTATTCTTGAACTGGTTATGAACACTGAAACTTCAACTGTTTATGGCATACTAAGTAATCTATACTAAGACTCGGGGGCATCAAACCCAAGTCTATATTGAATACATACTGAGCTCACAACGTTCAGAATGAAAGTCATGAACGAGTTATGAAGCTAAATAGTAGAATTTCTACAACTATTCAAGGAACTAGGCTAAACTATATTTCTGAGGTAATTAGTAATGTCGTAAAAGAAACGTAGTGTAGAGAGAATCATTAACGTTCCCAAACATATAGAGTTAGCCTCACATACCTTAACTTCCTGTCCTTGAGCGTAATACAGCGTTTGTCAACCCTTTCAGCTTTTTAATCTATAGCAATACAAGTCAAAGGGATTCCAAATTAGCAACAATACTTTTGTTTTGGCCAATTAGGCATTTTATCAAATACTTGGTGGTGTCGCGCACCCCTTTTTCCTTCTCCGAGAGGAGAGAGAGAGTTCGGGTTTAGACATTCATGGGGGGTAATAACTCATTTTCTTTTGAGACTTTGGGTTTTTGAACAGTCGCCATCTAACAGATTATGGTGCGTTGGGGCACCTAGAGCGATTAACTTTTAGACTACTTTGCATTACCAGAGATTTAGGATAAGGGCTCGAAATAACCTTGAGGGGAAGGTGTTAGACACCCCTCGCGGTCCACAACGGTGGGTCCTGGACGAACTTATACTTATGAATTAGTCCTTTAACAGATAAGTAGTTGAAACACATAATTGCAAATAAAAGCATGTTGGACATTGTGTGACTCAAATAACAAGACAAAGAATTTGAACAAGTTGCATATAAAAGAGTAAAGTTTAAACATCGGGAATTAGGAAAAAGGGTCCTAGATTGGTTAGCCTTAAAAGATCACCCCACACAATGCCCGGTAAACACTCCTCAATGAGGGGCTACACGTGAAATTAGCGCGTAGTCATCACTTTTTTACTACCCAATTCCCTCCCATTGGTCATGGACTAAAGCGTTCTAATAGCCTTGATAAATGTCTTATGCGTGCACTACCCGTCCCTTCCTCGTGGTCCTGGAGGTATTTTAGGACCTCTACTTTTGGATAGTTCTAGACCATCCTAAGGTTTTAAAAGAATAAAAGTCTAGGCGTCAATCAAGAACAATTAGGACTGCATTTAAAGAGAACAAATTATAGGCTCACGGTCACCTCCACAAATATAACAAATAAATGCACGTCTTCAAACAACACTCAGGTATTTAAGAGAAAATCCTAGAACATGATATCTAGGTGAGCAGGGATTATACAGTATTGACATAAAGAAAAAATCCTAGCATGTCTGCTTGCCTCATAACTCAGATAGGGACATAAGGGTATATCCCTCTCAACCCAATCAGCACCAGGTGTGGAGCGTCTCTAAACCTGATAATGAATTCATCTATTGGGAACCATTCAAACATCCATTGTACCTGTTCCTCAGTCAGATTATCGAAAAACTCCATGTATTCGTTGGAACTTTCCGGTTAAGCAAACATGTCTGGAATGTAAGTCATCCACTTGGGGTGATGGAAGGCGATATGATCGTTCTAAGCCCTTCGCGGAAATTCTTAGCGATAGTGACCCTTTTGAAAATGTTCTATCAACCACAACTGCAGCAACAAATTACAACCCTCGAAATGATTGACCCCTCTTTGACAGCGCTCCAGAGCCCTGTAGATGTCGGGTATGATCATAGAGACTATAGTGTATGTCTGTCCATTGATCCCTTCTATCAAAGTCTTGGTAACCATGGCCAACCTGGTGTGGATTCTTTCCCTTTTCATTGGGAATACTATCAGGCCTAAGAAGAATACAATGAACACGAACACTCTACGGTGGATGTGGCCTAGATAAGTGAGAGAGATCTCATTGTGATAGGTACGGTAGGACTTGCTATGGCCATACCTTTTATACAAATATTCAAAGGGTATGTAAGATTCCTTCAGGCATACCAGGTTAGCATTTTTATTCAGCCCCATCATCTTTAAAAATCCTTTACCGATACGGTTATCTAGCACCAATAACCCAGGACTATCCCAAGTTAATCCCGCAAGCCCTCTAATTTCTTCTAAAAGCGGTGTCATTTCTATGTCGCCGAAACGAAAAACAGACCTTTCACTATCCCAGAACAAAGTAGCAGCCTCGATGAACTTGTTGTTTAGATCAATGTCCTGCAAGGAAGGCAAGTTACCTAGGTACTTTCTTACATGTTTCTTGTCACTTGAGGAAAGGTCCTCCCACCAATCTAGCAGCAATAGTGGAATGTTGCTAACCATACCGAATCTGGGGATCCCGTGCCTCATTTTCTGCAAAACGAAAGGGTTAGGCCCTTATCCCCCACCAGACCCGACTATTTATACATCCATGATTAGCATATTGGCATTTAGTTCTCCAAATTAATACACAGAACGTGGTTGCGTTTGTTGGGATTATGGAAACCCCGGTGGACTTTTGGATAAGGCTTGTCTTAAAGGAATTTTATGTGGACAACATAATCGATCCGACTAGGTTTGACCATGATGCATGCACAATTATAATCAGAGTAAGATTACTGTGGGGGTCTAGACTGGTACCCTCAAGTGGGTAACTTGAGGGGGAAAGACACGGAACCGTCGACTGCACCGCTGATCGACTGGTTTTATCGCAAATAAGCCTTTCCGAATTTAAGGGTAATAAATAGGAAGAACGCAACCACTCATCAAGAGTTGCTATGAGATTTAATACGCACAAGTGGAATGTGATGTGGAGCATGATATATGCAACAATAAATAGCATGTAGTCAAGAATTTGCACATAAGAAAATAGTAAATACGGTATTTAAATAATTTGAAAGATAGTTACAGAAAAAGAAAATAAGGAGACAAGTCATTTTCAGGAATAAAGAAATCATAAATGCTAGAAAATAAATGATTAAATTCAAATAAAGGGAAATGGTATGTGGGATGGAGCATGCTTGGACTAATTCACAAAAGACAAGTTCGTTATGGTAA